TACAGTTCAGCTTGTTGTGCCCATCATCCTTCTGGCGATGCCTTGGCTTCTAAAACTACAGTAGTTGTGGTTACTGTGTATCCTGCTTTTCACGTGCCCTCTTGTAAATAGCTGCTCCCGTCGCTAAACAGGGTGATATCTGGGCTTGTTATAGCCTGGTCTCAGAGGTCCAGGTGGCTAGTATAGACGTCATCTATTACTTCGGAACAGTCATCGTCAGGTTCCCCTTCTTCCGTGGGGAGGAAAGTGGCTGGATTCAGTGTCCTCACTATTTCGAGAGTGACCCTTGGGTTTTCGGAGAGATGCCCTTGATATTGTGTCAGCCAAGAGTTGGAGAGGAAACGATATCCTTGGTGTTCATGAGGGACGTGACCACGTGCAGCACCTTAACATTAAGTGTTTGTCCCAGGGTGAGTTTGTCCGCCTCCTTGATGAGCAGGACTGTGGCTGCTAGTGCCCTAAGACACGGTGGCCATCCTGTGGCCACAGAATCAAGCTTTTTCAACAAGTAGGCTACTGGCCGTTGCCAGGGCCCTATGTTCTGAGTGAGAACTCCAAGGGCTATTTTGTCTTTTTCACATACAAAGAGGTTAAAAGGTCTTCCTAGGTCAGGTAAACCCAGGGCTGGAGCTCGTCCCAGAGCTGACTTTACTTCTGCGAAAGCGGCCCTCGCTTCCTCAGTCCAGGTGGGGAGCTCCCGCTATGGCTCTCCCAATTGGTCAAAGGGGCCTCACTATGGCTGAGAATTCAGAAATTCAAATGCGACAGAACCCTGCAGCTCCTAAGAATTCACACAAGCCTCGTTTTGTTTGGGGCTGTGGTAACGTGATAACCTTTTTCCTTTCCTGTTCTAGTTCTCTTTTTCCTTTTGTGAGGAGGAAGCCTAAGTATCGGACCTGCTGTTGACAAATCTGTGCCTTTTTCCAAGAGGCCCAGTACCCCGAGTTGGACAGGAGCTGCAGGAGAGCCTTTGTGCCTCTTGCACAGTTCTCTTGGGTGTTGTTGGCAAGGAGGAGATCATCTACATATTGGAGGAGGACACATCCTATGGTTTCCCTTGGAAAGTTGGCGAGGTCTGCAGTCAGTGCGTCCCCAAAAAGAGTGGGAGAGTTCTTGAAGCCTTGGGGAAGTTTCCAGGTCAGCTGCATCTGGTGGCCTGTAACGGGTTCAGTCCATTCAAAGGCAAACAGTGGTTGACTTTGAGGAGCCAGGCGGAGGCAGAAGAAAGCATCCTTTAGGTCGAGGCATGTAAACCATCTGGCTGACCCTGGAACTTGGCTGAGGCTGTACGGGTTCAGGGCCACTGGGTGTAAGGAAAGTCACTTTGTTAATGGCCCTCAAATCCTGTACTGGCCGCTATCCGTCTCCTGGCTTCTTGACTGGCAACAGTGGGGTATTCCAAGCCAATTGGTGTTCAATTAGAATACCTGTTTCTTTGAGCTTGATCAGGTGCTCCTGTATGCCCATTCTAGCCTCGAGTGGAAGGGGATATTGCCTTTGTCTTTGGGGTTGGGCTCCAGGGATCAGATCAACGATGGGGGCCCAATTCCGGGCTAGTCCAGGCGGGTTATCTTTGGCCCATACAGAGGGGAATGCAAGCCTGAATTCTGATGGACTACAGGGTTGGGCCTGGGCACAGACGTCTCCACTCCTCTTCCCTTGGCATGGTCATTGCCAGGACCAGGGTTTCCCTCTGCCTCAGGTTTAATTGGAGGCTTAGTGTGTCCAGTGGGTTCAAAAGTTATTTGGGCCCCAAGTGTGGAGAGCAGATCTCGGCCCAGGAGGGGAATCAGGAAGTCAGGCAAGTAGAGGAACTCCTGCCAGACCTTGTGGCCCCACGTTCACATTGTCGAGCCTGACAGAAAGTTGTTGTATTGCCCGCATCCCAGTAGCCCCAAGTATGGTTGCTGTCTCTTGGCTGAAAGGGGCTACCGGGGAAGTGATAACTGAATGTTCAGCCCCAGTGTCAACCATGAAAGTTATTGTTTGGCCCCCTACTTTCATTTTGACCGTGGGCTCATGGGGGCCAAGACAGAAAGAGCCCGGTCTCCTTCAGTCTGATTCTAGCTCAGCCAGACCAATGAGGTTCCCATCTTGGGGTTGCTCTCAATATTGGCTGGGTTTTGGGAGCCCCTTCTGATTCGGGCATTCATTCTTCCAGTGTCCCTTTTCCTTGCAGTAGGCACATTGGTCTTTGCTAAGGGGGCTCTGGCCTTTCCCCCTTTTGGTGGTTTCTGTTTCTTTCAGTGCTGCTGTGAGAAGGGTGGCCCTCTTCTTTAGTCTTTTTTCAGCTTCTCTCTCAGCTGTGACTTCCCTGTTCATGAAACTTTATTGGCGACCTCTATCAACTGAGTGATATTCATTCTGGCAAAGCCCTCTAACTTTTGGAATTTTCTCCTGATGTCTAGGACAGCCTGTGCCACAAAGGAGGTATTTACCATTTGTTGACTTTCTGGTGCCTCGGGATCAAACAGGGTGTATACACGGTATGCCTCACACAGTCTTTCATGGTAGTCTCCGGGAGACTCCCCAGGCTGTTGTGTGACCGATGTTATTTTAGTCATGTTCATGGGCTTTTTGGCTCCAGCTCAAATTCCCTGAAGGAGATCCTCTTGGTACCAATGGATGTGAGCCTGTCCTTCTTCTGTGGTGAAGTCCCATGTCAGGCACGGCAGCTCAAGCCCAGGCAGCAGGGTCATTGATGCCTGGCAGTGCATGGTGTTCTAGGTACTGTCGCGTTTCCCTCATCCTCCTCCTTCTTTCTTCTGTATTAAACAGGGTACGGAGTAACTGTTGGCAATTTTCCCAAGTCGGTCGGTGGGTCTGGAAGAGGGACTCCATCAAGTCGACCACTGCTTGTGGCTTTTCAGAGTATGATGCAGTGCTGTGCTTCCAATTAAGAAGGTCGGTTATAGAGAAGGACTGATAATACACCATGGAACGGCTGGGCTGGACTGTTCCGTCCTCATTCTGTCTTTCAGATTCTCTCATCTCCCTTACTGGCATTTGGAGGGCGTCAGGTCTGGTCTGGGTTGCAATCTGGCTGCTGGCCCTGGTGAGAGAGGGTTCTCCAGGTCTGGGGGTAAGGAGAGATGGATGGCAGATCCGGGCTGGAGGAGAGATCGACGGAGGAGGAGTTTTAAGCCCCAGGGCAAGGTGGGGGGCAGGGGGTGGAGAGTTATAAGGTGGCGGAAAGATAAGGCCTTCCTCTGGGTCCCCCGCAAATACCGGGGGAGCAGTAGGCTGCTTCTTTGGTTCTCCAGGTGAGGCAGCTAAAACCCTTTGCCTGACTCTGCTTGTTATGGATGAATCGCACCCAAGGTGGGAGATTTCAGGCAATTTCAAGCCAGGAGTCGATATATGGAAATTGGTCAGGGTGACCTGGGTTCCCAGTGACTATTAGCCAAACCCGCTGCACCTGGGCATCTAATGTCCCTTCTGGGGGCCATCCTACATTGAACGTGGGCCATTCTAGTTCACCAAAGGTTCTTAGCTTCCTGGGTATCATTTTCATCCCATAGTCGCCTGAGAATCCCTTTTAAAGAATCCCTTAAAGTTTTTAAGCAGGACCTCAAGAATCTTGGGCTTACTGTTTTGACCCCATTACTAATCCCTTTCTCGTGTTCGGTGTCGCAGAGACAGACAAAAAAGGGGTTATCCCCTCAGATGAGAGGACCAAACAGATGCTCCACTGGTTGCGGTCTGGAGGGAAACTTTAGGTAAGGCTTGGCTGTGGTGGGCTCAGCTTTGTGACTTTCGATGGGAGTCTAATTCGATGCCGCCCTGGACTGATGCCTTTCACCAAGACACCACTCAGACTCCGTAGACTCTTGGGGACCTTAAGGGTGCCCATCTGTGGAGCCACAAATTCGAACCGACGGGCAAGCCTGGCTGAGCTGCACATTCACACACACATATACCAGAGGCTATTACGTTCTCTCCCACAGAATTTTTTACCTGTGAGACCACTGAGGTCCCCGGGGAGTGATCAGGTCCCCCTTCCAGCCTTTTGGATGGCCCTGACTGGGTTGGGGCCCCAGCCTCACTGGTTCCGACATCGGGTCCAGGTCCTCACCTACCAGGTCTCTCTGAGTGTACCGCAGGAAAGACGGAGCAGGGCCAGCCTGGGCGACTGAGGGTACTGCCGAAAATCAGGCAGGGCTCCCCTTCTCCTCTGCGATTCCTCGCTCCGTCACCGTCACCGCCTCGCCCATCTCCCAAACCAGTGGCAACAGTGGGCCAGCGCAGTGGGGTTTCCTGGTCAGGGAACCAACCAAATATGTTACGGAACCAGGCTGGAACGCTGGCGGAAAAACCAAGCGGCACTCGGAGATCCTGGTGGATTGGAGATTTATTTAACACCTGCAGGCTCAAAGGAGACAGTTTCTCCAAAGATCTGAGCCCCAAATGCAGGTGGGAAGGGTAATTTATAGCGTCATTTTCCACGTTGGTGGTGGCTTTCCCGCGCTGCAAACAGGGCAGGAAGAGCCTAGGAAAAGGAGTCTCCAAGCTAGGAACTAGAGCTTGTTTTAGTCCCGTCGCCATCTTATGGTGCAGAACTTTACTTATTTTCCCAACACTCTGAACAGAGTCAGCAGGTTCCCTATTGAAAGCTGTGTGGGAATGCGCGGCGTAGTATCTACCGAGGCGCGCGGAAGGGCAGCTCGGTGAGATGCACTGAAGCGCTGGAATCGAAATTGAATCCCAGCCCCCTTCCTAGCCGCGTGACTTTAGCCAAGTTACCGAACCTCTCAGAACTTCCCCAACTGTAAAAAAGTCTGTTAAGAATACTCACCTGCCAGGGTTTCCGAGCGATGACGTAACCATGCGGTCGCCAACTGGCGCTGTATTTAGAAGGTGCAAAATGCCCAAGCCGGTCACTACTGGTCGATTGGCTCTACGCCAGACGGGCCGGGGCGTGTGTTACCTCTAGGGGCATGCGCAGTACGCCCGCGGCGCGGCCCGTCAGGCACTGCGGTAGGCGCCCTGGAGGCTGGCAGGACCCTGACCCCAAGATGGCGGCGCCCAGCGAAGTGGCCGCGGCTGCCTCCGGCGAGAATGATGGCGGGGGCAGCGGCTTTGGGTCGTGGCTGGACGGACGGTTGGAGGCGCTGGGAGTGGACCGAGCCGTTTACGGCGCCTACATCCTGGGTGTCCTGCAGGAGGAGGAGGAAGAGGAGAGGCTGGATGCTCTGCAAGGGATCCTCTCTGCTTTCTTGGTGAGAAGCCGGGACACGTTCCTTTAGATTCCTGGCGGCCCCTGTCAGTACTTCGTACCCCTTTTCCCATACCTTGTGTCCCAGAGGATTAGTGGTCTCCCATGGGAGAGGAATATTCTGAGCTCTGGGACGCGGGGGAAGGGGGTTGCTCACCAACCAGGGTTTTGGGAAGCCAGAAGGTTGCAGGTGCATAGAGAAGTGTGGCTTTCCTTTTTTCCTGGGGACACGGCCCTCTTGGATCCCTGTGGGTGAGCTGAGTGAGTCTTCTTCCGAAGGCACTGAAATGCCTAAATGAGAATTTTATCATAGACGCCTAACGACCGATTTCATTCCCATCCGTTGACAGTGTTCAGAGAGAGGAGTAAAGTGCTCTGGGATGTCTGTGGTCTTTAAGAGACAGTGCCCAGTGCTATCCTATGACAAAAGCCTGCAGGAAGTACCTTCTCAGTTCCTATTTTGGAGGTAGGAGTTCAAAAAAGGTAAGCTGGAGGTAGAAGTCTAGGTATAGGTGTAGGCCTAGGCCAAACTGAAGCAAATATTGTGCTTGATCTTTTACAGTATTTAGAAATGCAGTGACCATCCATGTTTGCTGGGGGAGGTGGCAAATAAGGTCAGAGTTTTATCATTCCAGCTTTTAGTATATGTGCTGCCAAAGCGACCATTAAGGTCAGAGTTTTAAGGGAGGGAGAGAAGCTTGGTATTCTTCTTTTTCTGCTGCTGCTGCTGCTGCTGCTGCTGCTGCTGCTGCTTTTTGGTACCCAGCTTCTTAAAAGCAGATTCAAGAATTGAGACATGTGTACGTTAATCTGTGTTTAAGTAGTAAATCACCAGATTGTCCACTTTTCCAACCTGACCATTCTGCTGCTTTCATCTCCATTTACACTTACTTGGTGGAAACACAGTTTGATGATTGGGCATAGGGTTGAAATATAACACTAGTGCAGCTGTCTCAGGTTCTCTTGGCAAAGTGCCCCATTTAGTCCCGAAGTCTGCTCTGGTGAGATTGACCTATAAATGGGAAAGCTTTAACACAGCTTGTGATGCATCTTATAAGTTCGGTGGGGATAGAGCGCCATAGTAAATTCTTTTCCTGGACCCTGACGACGTAGCAGGTTGGTGGGGGGAAGAGTGTAAGGCAAGCAATTTAAGTTAGTTTTTATTTCCAGTTGGGAAGTTTCTAAAGACTCTGTGAAAAAGAGGTTGAAGTAACTTGGGTACTCATTGGTACTAGCTCCTTGACCTCTTCTTTTCATGGTGTCGTTATTTGGAACTGCACATCTACTGATGAAGGCAAGCGTGAATTTGCCTTAGACTATTAGCAGTCTCTTGGTAGAAGTGAGAAGAGTTATCTAGAACCATATTTTCTCTATATTTGCTTCTTGTTTACATGAACTACAGAAGACAGACATTTTTAAGGGTGGCTTCTCGCTCTCTCTGCCTGATTCACACACCATTCGATTCACACACCATTCTTAATTTTCTCTTGATTTTCGCAAGCCCTTCTATATAGGAAATTGCCTTGGGAAGAACTGGCCAGGAAGTATATGGTGAGGCAGGGGTCCTGTACACGAAACACCTGAGAAGGAACTTTAAAGAGCAGCAAGGCCAATGAACATGGTATACATCAAATGTATAATTCACGGTGTTGCTTGCTTTTTGTCAGTCAGGCTGTATCTAAAAGACCCTGACAATTGTACCAAATCCCTTTCTAGGAAAAACAAAAGGCATAGCTAAATCAGCTACCAGATTGGGCTCGGATTCAATATTAGGAATTAAGAAGTTTGTCAGCAGCAACTTGAGTTAAGATTCAAGGACAGTGTATATTGTCAGGAGCAAATAGCAGTTAATAATAAAAGCTTTCTATTATCATTTTTAAAATTCCTTCCAGTAGCATTTATATTGATTGATTGATTCATCAAGTTTTTATTGATGGATTACTCTCTACCAGGCATTGCCCTAAGTGCTTGGGGTACCTTAGGGAACAAAAGAGAAATCCCTGTCACCCCTTATGGGGTGACATTCTAGCAGGGAAAAAAAAAGCAGTAAATTATATAGTATGCTAGAAAACAGTAAGTACTGGCAAAAAAGGAACATTACAAGAGAATCAGAAGTGGAATGGAGGGGTGAGTTGTAATTTTAAGTAGGATTATTACATTAATGGGGGTAGTAACACTTTAGGGCAGCTATTTATATACTAGCCTTCTAAATTGTCAGTGTCTTGAGACCAGGGACTGTTTCTCATTCATTTCTTATCACTTATCTTAGTGCCTTCAACATGGCAGGCAGTATCTGGATAAATAAATGAACAAATGGATGAATGAACTACTTTGGTCTGGGTGAACCCTGGGAGAATGAACCACCTCATCCTCCAAGAGCATCTTCTCTCTTATGCTTCGCCACTCCTTTTCCTTCTTTTTCTTCTTCTTCCTTTACTTTTCCTGCTGGGGTTCCTTGAATTAAAGAAAGAAACTGTGGACCAAAGAAGTTTTGTATGTTTGGCATGAGTGCCAAAAAGAACACAGGGTAGAGGATGTAATCCTTTGTTGGGTGGAAAGTAAGGAAATCCAAAATAGGGCCAGCTGCCTGGCTTATTCGGTAGAGCGTGTGTCTCATGATCTCAGGGTTGTGAGTTCGAGCCCCATGTTGGGTATAGAGATTACTTTTAAAAAAACAGTAATATCTTAAAAAAAGTCTGTGTTCTGTCTCTCCTCGCTTTCTTTGAGAGATGGTATAATGGTTGAGAACATGGGCTCAGAGCTAGACTGCTGGGTTCAAATCCTTTTTAATCCACTTATTACTTAATGACCTTGGGCTAGTTACTTAAACTCTAGGCCTTGGTTTCCACATCCATAAACTGAGAATGGTACTTATATCTTGGGATTGTTTTAAGAATTAAGAGTTCTTATGTGAAGTATTTAGAACAGTGCCTGGCACATGCTAAGCACTTAGTAAATGTGAACTCTGACAGCTCATTTTGAAGAGTGGAGCATGAAGATGGTGAAGCAGCCATAATGAAAATGGAGGGAAATACCTATATCTGTTGAAATGCCTATTCTTTGCCAAGCAGGGTAGGGATTTCGTACACATTCTCTTTCATCTTTTCTAAAATCCTGGGAAGACGTGAAGCTCAGAAAGTTAAGAATCTTGTTCATAGATCTGGGTTTGAATTTAAGTATGTCTGACACCAAGGCCAACATCCTTTTTCTTATATCATGGTAAGGAAGATTGATCAGCATGTGTGTGGACGATATGTGTGCTTGTGTAAAGTGAACAAAAGGATGGTTGGATAGGAGACCATCTACTCATTTATCACCTAAAGAGGTGGGGTCAGCTCAGCAAGGTCACGGATATGTTCCAGCTCGAAAGTGGATGAACCTTGGAGAATGTACTGAGTTGAGTGTAGCAGCCAAGAAAGATTTCACGGCTTTGATTCAGGCAACAGGTTTTTGCTCCAAAAGTATGAGGAAGACTGTCCTGAATTATTGGGAATCCTTTCACCTGGTGCTTGGCAGGATGGAGTGGGTGCTTTTGACCTAGCAGGTGTGGATTCTGGGCCTCAGACACAGGATTACTTCTGTTTCCAGAGCCTCAAAACAGAAACATGCTTTTTGTTCTGTGGCCCCCAGATCCTCCCCGTGACTTCTCCTCACCAGCAGGCAAGCTGTGCCCTGTGCATGGGCTTTGTTCAGGCTGAGGGCCTCGGGAAATTAACTGGTCTATTTCTCCAACTAGGAGGAAGATTCTCTTCTTCACATCTGCAAGGAGATTGTGGAACGATGGTCGGAAAGTCAGAATGTTGTCACCAAAGTGAAAAAAGAAGGTAGAGTTGGGAGTTTGTCTAAACTGCAGTGCCTTTTCCAATGACCTTTACTGTATAGCTGTTAGAGAATTTTGAGTTTTCGCTATTTTCTACGCATTTTGCCTAAGATAATTTAAGCTGGCAAACACCCAGCAGCTTACTGGAACTTTTTAGCTGGATGTTGGTTTCCTTTTCTTTTTTACAGTTTTCCATTCCACCTGACCATAGTCCCCTCCATTGTGGCTTTTGCTTTCTTCCTTTTCATCCTCTTTCTACTGTCCCTTGTAGATTTTCATGGCAGGTATGGGGCCAACTATATTTTCCCACCTCCTACCTTTTCCGTATTCTCATTTCATAACAGTTGTGGTTGATGTTTTGCTTTATTCAGCTAAATTTGTCACCCCTGGAAATGAAAGAGAAGTGGGTTAATATACTCACCATTAGTATGACAGATTAACTGCAGAAAACTGAAATCCTAGAAGCCAAACTTGAATCTATTCTAAACTACACATTGGTTCCCAGTCTTGGCTGTACATTAGAATCACTTGATATACTTTAAAACGTGCCAGTGCTAGGGCCATACCATGGACTAGTTGTAGAAACGTCTTTGGGGTTGGGGCTCAGGTATTGGCATTTTTTAAAAAGCTGCACCAGATGATTCTAGTGTGAGTCCAGGCATAAAAACCACTACTGGACACCACTGCCCCCTTTCTTTGAGAATGGATAACTTAGTTGACTTTATTTTAAAATAATCTATGGCGTTTTCTGGATGGCTCAGTCAGTTGAGTGTCCAACTTCAACTCAGGTCATGATCTCGTGGTTCGAGAGTTCCAGCCCTGCCTTGGGCTCGCTGCTGTTAGCACAGAGCCTGCTTCATATCCTCTGTCCCTCTTTCTGCCCCTGCCGTGCTCATGCATGCTGTCTCTCTCAAAAATAAACGTTTAAAAAAATTACATATTTCACCTGGCATCATCATCATTATGAAAGGGACCAGCAGAAGTTGATTCTAGATTCCTTCTTATGTTTCTGGTTTGAGAGGAGAGAAAGTTGCATGCTTAAAGCCAAATTTTCTATGGTTCTAATGCAGTGCTTTTCAACTTTTTTTTTTTTTTAATGTGTATTTATTTTCGAGAGAGAGAGCTCGCAAGCAAGGGGAGGGGCAGAGAGAGAGAGACAGAGGATCCAAAGCAGGCTCTGTACAGTCAGCGCAGAGATCATGACCTGAGCCAAAGTCAGATGCTTAACCGACAGAGCCACCCAGGCGCCCTGACTTTTTTTTTTTTTGGTAAAGCAGCAAAAACTCCAGTTTATAAAACAGGTTAAAGCAGGGCTGCTCTGATTGAAGATAGATACAAGACCTAAAGCCTAGCCTGCAGGGCCTTTTCTTTCCTTTCTCTTTGGCCCCTGAGGCACCTCCTTTGAACCCCAGGGCCCTAAAGAATCAGCAGATGCCATTGCCTTGCCTGCAAGCACTGCCTGGGTGGACTGGTGGTTCGGTGAGCTTGTTTTCTCTTACATACAACCTTGTTGTCCCTCCCTTCCCTTCCCCTCCCAGATGAGGTACAGGCCATTGCCACCCTAATTGAGAAGCAGGCACAGATTGTGGTGAAGCCCAGGATGGTGTCAGAAGAAGAGAAACAGAGAAAAGCTGCCCTCCTGGCCCAGTATGCTGATGTGACAGATGAAGAAGAATATCCTTTTTGGAGTCTTGGGTCCATCCCCCGAGGCTCAAGTCAGACATGTTTGCTGGTTTGCAGTGAGCTTTGGGAAGTTGCCAATCTCTTCGTGTAGTTTAATTTTTCTCTCTGAAATGGCATTGATCTCTGGCCCTTCGTGGGTGTGAGAATTGATATTGGGATAGTTGGAAACTTCAGTGTGAAAGAAATAATGCCTTAATAATGGACTGTTTATATTGTATTTCCAGAAACTAAGATGCAGCTGTATGTTTATATTTGTATAATACCTTTCTGCCTAGTACAGTGTCATACGTATAACCAGTCTTTATATTCGTTTCCCAGTTGATGAGGGAACGGAGACAGTGAGAGTGGAATGTGTAATCAGAGATATGCATAGATTTAGTGGCAAAACCAGGACTAGAATACAGATCATTTTGGATGAAGGATTCCCAAATTTGGGGCAGTTTCATTTGAATCTCATTATTTTTTTTAATACTCCAGGGACCACATAATTGAAAGATCACATCCCCAAATCTGGAATTTGGGCACCGTGCCAAAGGCAGTTGCCCTTGACCAGAGACAGGCTTGGTTCCCTTTGAGTTTGAAATTGTTTAGGAGATGCTTAGCTTCCAGAGCCTGCTTGACTGGAGTATGTGGTGCCTTATGTGGTGGACATGATACCGGAAATGTTAGTTGTCTCGTCACGAGCTTAGGAAATAATTGTTAGGCTCTTTTGGGCCAACTTGTTCTTCTCCTGATGTTTTTATTGCCAGGGTCAGCAGAGCTAGGGTTCCAATGACACAGTTTCATTTCCTGGGCTAGAAAAGAACAATGTTTTAAGCAGTGGTTCCCCTGGAGAACTTGTTTTTTTTTTTTTTTTTTT